CTTATTGTTCGAATAACATTGTCTGTTTTGTGAGTCAATAAAAGGACTTAACCAAAATTAATCATAATTGAAATTGATTGTAGAAGAGTTGCTAAACCTTTGTGAGATCAACCTCTTATTCCAATAGTAAAATAGTTATATTATTTTAGTGTTTGTCAAGTATACTACGTCTTTGTTGTGTGTAATAGAACTTAAAATAAGACAAATTCCACTGAAATCCATTCATTATGTTAACTTGAGTTTCATTATCAATCATTTGTTGACAGTTTATTTATATCCATTGTTTCTATATTATCATTCGTAACTTAAACCTCTTCTCTATATGACTCTATCTTCAGGATATAAATACTAACCATTCATAAAAATTATGTGAACTATGTTGTTTCCTCTTGTTTCTTAAGTTTTGAACTAAAATTCATTGATTACGGTACGTAAAACTTCTTATACTAACATTAATAATGTAACTTAAAACGGTTTCAATATGATGAGAAGCCTTTAAATATCACGAATGCATGTTATTCCACAAATCTTGTTCTTCTCGCTTTATTTGTCAATATCAATGAATCCAAAGGTTTCAGAATGAGGTTAACTTTGGTTAAGCCAATAGAAAATAGTGCAAGTTGACAGATGTAACAAAAGGAGCTTATTTAGGTGATTCGGCATGGAGAAATCTACAGTTACGCATCATCAAATACAGTTAGATTAATCATTATGAAATGCATTAACTGTCACCGTGAACCTACTCAACGGATATTGTAACGCTGACGAATAAACTGGTGGAAACATATTGTTCACTGTGATTTTCTGCTTGTTACAACTATCCTTCCATCATTACAAACGTGGAACAAAGAAATAGTTCATGGGGTGTTTAACGTCATCAAATTAACATTTATTTCAGGGTTTGAATAGATCATACTACAACTAGCTAAGGATTTGAGTGTATTTAAACGTTAAAGTATTGATCGGATTTGTATCGTGATGTAGTGTCTGATAAACTCATCTTTCATCCCAGTAGGCAATCAAACAATGAATAGATCTAGTTTTGTGACTGGACATTAACCTATCAGTAACGTAACGCCTAGTGATTGAATCAACTTCAAAAATATTGTGCAACTTAATTATTTTAGCTATTGTCAAGTGAAACTGATGTTTTTTCTCCTGATCTAGCAAATAAACGTTGAAATAACAGAATTGCGTATATACACAAGCATATATGTGGAAACTATATTGGAAGTGATTTTAATCTTTTTTGTATCACTGAGATCATGAATCGATCAAAGACAGAATACTATTGAAAACATGGAAGCACTGGACACCTGTAATAGGGGACTCCTCAGCAGAGCGCATCCTGAGTTCGATCCCCGTGTGCGGAGTCATAAATACTCATTACTGAGGAGTCCCACAATAAGACAAAACGGGCGTCCCGTACTCCCACGTTTTTGATGGTGACTTAACACTGATCGGTTCATGATTTCAATGAAATGCGACAATTTCCACAGTCCCTTATTGACAATCTCTTCATAAATATCGATAAATAATGACGACCTAATATGAACGGTGTATATTTCCTGTTTTATTCCTTTATTCTAAATGGTATCTTTTCCAAATTACCAAAAGAATCAAGGGACGTTAAAAATAAGACTTAAATCATAGAAGTCCAATAGAGCCTAGATGGATCAATTGATTTTATGACATATTGTTGTGAAATAACAAAGAAAAAAATGTAAATAAGTCAAATATAAAGTGTCAAACAAATTATTTGGTAGGAAATATTTCAGTTAGTCATGCACACATAATAGAACTGTTTTTACAGTTACGTTTGTCATGGAATATTCATGATCTCTCGGTGCCACAGATATAACTAATTACCAAGATTTTTTGGAGAAAGGTTTGTCTACGTTTTGATAATAGGTGGTCAGGGTTAATCATCAGCGAAACCTGAACTTAGGTTTTGTGCTAATTGGGATACGTTAGTAAGGTGTGCCTGCTATCTTCACAGGACTGGCGCACCCACTGGGATCCCAAAGTTGATCCTGGACTAGAGGGATATGATATTAACCGATATTCAGTGGTTGATCACCAATGTGAATATCGCAACCCTACAGAATTTTATTCGCGATCCAAACGGCTCAATGGTAGTTTCAGACAATAAAGTTAGGTGATCTGGGTTGTTATCCAACGAGCAGCATCAATTCCATCAGCATTACAGGTACACATTGTCAATTAATGTCAACTAGCACGAAGCCTAGATCCAGAGCTACCTGCCAACTACCCTCAACCGCCCAGCGTCAAAACATATTATCAAACCACTTGGACTACTGGTCACATTGCAACTTAGTCGACAAAATCCGATCTGCACCAAGGGCTAGACATGATATTGGCCACCACTCAGTGATTAATGTAATGATGTACATAGTTTGAAGATGGTTAAAGCTGAAAACTGATGTCAACTCGAGAAAAAGAGGAATCTATTGTGGGACAATTTAGCGATACACACATATATAGAGTCGCATTTCCAGTGACAAATCGTCTACAAAACAGCATTTTCTAAAGAGAACGTTTAGACACTTTTGTAGACATATATATAATGAGAGAAACAAGTAGAACCAAGCATTGAATTGCAACGTCATGAATTAATTGAACTTAGACATGCAAATCAATGGATACCAAATCAGTAATCTGAAAGTTAAGCGTTCGTTGTGAAAATAAATGCTCCGAGTTCAATCCCTGGTGGGATGATAGATATATTGTTAAAAAGTCTTATAGTATCATGAAACAACTGACCAGTACTTCCCGGTTCTCAATGGATTTCTAATTTAGATCAGTTTATAATATTAATAACATGCAACAATCTTGTGAGCAGATGAAGAAAAAAAATACACCTACTTATACAGGAATCACAAAACTTTCAGTTATACTTCGAAAGAGGAATTATTTCAGCCAGTCTACAAATAACTAATATTCCCACCCTCCTGATTATTATCAATAAGCATAGCAATACACTTGCAATAATATACCATTACAACTCGTAGAAAAAATAGTATACATATACAGTCTACAGAATGGGGGGGATTTTAAACAGAAATATAAAGAAATGTTATTATTGATGATGATGATAATAATAATAATAAATAACAGTAATTAATATTTATGGATAGTTTATTCTGTATATTTTTTCTGAAAAAAAAAGGTGCGATAATATTGAAGCATGTTATACAAAATGTAAAATAGTTAAATAAATAAGCTACTAACATCAACGTATCATCGCACACGCATAAATCAGATTAACTCGGTATATATATATAGGATGTATCTCAACAAGTATGTAATGGTTAGTATACATTTTGACTGATGGGTTAATAATGTAACCCAATTACTAGCTTGAATCAACAGTGAACAAATGTGTTAAGTATCAAGAAGGGATTCTTCATCAGTATTCATAATAATAATAATAATAATAATAATAATAATAATAATAATAATAATAATGTTAGCGCTTGAGTCGAAACCATATATATGTATGTAAACACACGTTGTAGTAATAAAATAGAAATAAACCAAGAAAAATAATCGAAAACAACAACTGAAGGTATAGACATATGACATGATAAGAATTTACAACATGTAGGTTGATTGATATGATATTGTATGTATGTATGTATGTGGTGGACATATCAATATCCACAAATTCACATACACGCACACACAGCATCACTATGAGATAAAACGCGTATTATCACTACGGTTAGTGTATTCAGCAAAAATAAATACATTGTAAGAGTTAGACAACTTTCTAAAATGGTTTAATGATACAATATTTGTTTGTTATGATAAGAATATGAATATATAAAAAGGTTTGTGTGTGTAGGGCATTAAAGCAGGGATGATAGTCAGGTGGATGATAATTGTACTCATTAAGAAAGACAATTAGTAAACAAGGAAGATGACAAGAAAAATAACAAAAAGAAAGGAGCTGATAAAATAAAAATTAAGACAGATTTGTTTATGTGTACACTAAGTGACGAATCAGTGAATTACAAAACAAACCACAAATATAATGATAGTCAATTGCGAGAAGTAATGATGATGATAAGAAGAGGATAATCGTATGATCTGATAAGATAAATAAGTTTTCTTTTTGAAATAGAAGGATCAAATAAAGGAATTTCTCCATTCACAAATAATACACTTGGCCCAGAGCCACTACCACCACCACCCCATATAAAGTCACGGAAAGACAAATGGTGAAATAATACGAGTTGATGAATGTTTATATCGAAAAATTAAAACAAACAATCCGTGAAAGAAGTAGCTATGTATACATATGTATGCATCAGTGTATACACAGCTGTCCAAAACGAACACAGAGAAAAACTACAATGATTATAGAGAATAAGTAATAGAATCGATAAATAAGAATACAAAACCAAACAAGACAAAAAGGGGTAATACGCGTTCAGAAGAATTGATAGCTGTTTTTGTATATATGTATATATACACACACACACAAAATACATCCATAAAAGAATATTTTATAGAATGAATATAGATTGTTTGGTAATATGATTTTTCACAATAGAAAAAAAAGACATCTACATTATGTATTTTGTCGAATATCTAACGGATTAAACAGAACAATAGTATAAATATAACATAGCGGTTTAATTAAGGCACAATTTCCACACAACGGTATTTTTGTTTATTACCAGGATGAATAACATTATCATTATTATTAGAATAAAAAGTTTTTAGGTCAAATTGATGAAAAACAAACAAAGAAACAAAATGATAAAAGATTAAATGACAACATAATCGGCCAACAGAAAAACGCAAAAACAAACAAACAAACACACGTGAACATGCACAAAATACAACAGGCAAGAGAGACAAATATATTTCTGTTGGACGAAAAAAAAAAGAAAGATGTAATTTATCATGGGGACACAGCAGTAGAGTGAGGGGTGGGATGGAGGAATTATGTAAGTGTATTATTTAAAGGACATTCTTCACGTAGCAGTAGTCTCTGGAATATATATATAGTGGAATGTTTACAAATTTCACTAAATGAAGAAACGAATAAACAAACAACTTGTAGGATATACGAATCATCTGATAGATTTATAAGAGATAGAGGATTTCAATCTGGTTCACGAAATTGACTGACTTCTTGAAAAATCATTTTTTTCAATTGTCTAACAGGTAAATTATCTAATTCTTCTTCAAAACTGAATGGTTTTTTAGCAACAGGCTAAAGTGAAGAGATAAAGATAATACATAATATTATTAATGGAAAGATTTCAACAATGGATTCTAAAATGAACAGTATATGATGTTTGATCTTTCTTTTTCATTCATTTGTTGAGTTGAGTGCCCCCAAATGCCCTGGTATGGCCAAGAGTGGGGTGGGCCTGCCCTCCCTCTCGAAATGCTTTCACACGGTCACGCGTATAAAGCCTCTGTCAAGGAATTCCTACTCACTGCCTTCTCGTGGCGGGGGTGTTGTTTACGAAAATGAGGGGACGAAAAGCGAATGTTCGGCGCTTTAACCGGACCCCAAACCAATGGTGCACATGGCCTGGCCCCACTATCCTGAAGGAACAAATGGCGTATGAACCAATCGTTGGTCACTGACTACCATGGGACTGCATCGCATCACGATGCTCCACTGCCTTGTGAGTTAGACCTTTAGGTCAAAGGCTTTGGGTGTGGCCCCCTAAGAAAACCACCTGCTTCGGCGGTCTGGGAACCCGAGCAGTATCACAGCCCACACACAAATTAAGTGAGATTTGTGTGGCGCATATATTTGGTGCCCTCTTGTACCAATATTTATGTGTTCAAATAATAATAATAATAATAATGTTGAGTTGAGTAATGTACATAAGAGCATGATTTTCATTGAGAATTTCATTTAAGCCTATCTATATGTCTTTTGTGAACAGACCAATTTGTAGAATAAGAAAACAAATCAAGTGAAAATTCGAGTATGAAATGAAATTCTCAGTGAACATTATGGATTTATCTGTAGTAACTACACGCTAAATGAATAGAGAAATCTACGAAAATACTTGATATTGAACACATGTCGAGCATAGAAAGACAGCTGCACCATAAATTCACGGACACAGCCTATCTCTTGATTTTTAAATGGACTCCTATAATTTAGGCGCTGAAAATTAGAAATCCATTTGGAAAGTTTTTATTATGTCTTATACTGCTCAATATTCTCCTTGTACACACTACTTCATTCTATTTGTTTCAAATAAAAAAATGAAGGATTCAAAGCAAATAGAAACACCTTCTTGGTCAGGGTCTATGAAAACTCATCATCAAAGATTGGACTTGGGTGTCACAGGCGAAGTTCAAGCCTCAGGAGTGCAACTGCATTCAGTCTCTATCTCCCTCTAAAAACTCGATTTAAACTTAATCCCTAAATTTTCACTATTTGTGTACATTTCTTTCTCTTGAACTATATTTCCCATTGATTAGATTATCTGTCACGATTATAATTCTTTATTACCTTTTAGATCTTGGTAATTTCCTCTGTCGTGCTAATCTGAGAGCTGCGACAACTTGAACTGATACGCATTCATGAAATGCTGATGATGATTGTATTAGCAACAAGTTCGAATGTAATTGCAGGGAAAACTGTAACAATGACTATGTTAAAAACAATTCTGATGTTAAATGTACAATCTAAAAAAGTGAGTTGTCAGTAAAAAAAACGTTGAAATTATTTATCATCAAACATGAAAATGAAATATTGTTTAGAGCAACCTATAGGATATGGCACGCAAGCTGAAAGGAAACTAGACGTTTATCGACTGTTGACACATCTGATTATCACTGGAGTTTAGGGTAACAAAAATAAGTGCCAAACAAAAGTTTGGAAGTGACAACTTTTTTACTTATAACACTAACAAGCTTACCTCATCACTAGGATCATAGTAATGTTCAAAATAAGGATGAGCTAAGGCTTCTTCGACGGTGATACGTGTGGTTGGATTGAATGTTAATAAACGATCAAGCAGGTCGATTGCTGTGAATAAAAAACAAATAGAAGTTAAAAGAATGAATTTTACAAACACAAGAATCTAAAGTGATGATCAGTTAGTCAAACGCAAAGTAGAAACTGGCACATGTCTACATTGGTTCAAGTCGCCATATCCAATGGCTCAGAGACGAAATCGTCAGATCAAATCCCAGAGTAGTAGACGTAGGAAGAGTATTAGTGATCATAGAACATATCAGGCTTAGAAGATATGATTCGAGGAAATGTAAATTAGAGAAATAAAAAATAAATTATGCGGGATTGAGAAACTTAGGATTTAAGGGAAGAAAAAATGTGAATGTACCTGCGCCATCCAAAGGGATGCCACAAAAGATTGATTCACATAGAAAAATTTCAATAACTGTAGCCAGTTAAGCTATAAAAAGTTATTCAACTTGAAAGCTTATGACACTCTTAATATATTCAGTTAATGACACTAGGTAAGTGATAAGAGTTGGAAGAAAATTTGGGCTTTGAAAGGATTTGAACTAGCGACATTTACGCAAAACATTGGAGAATTGTATACGGATTGAACTACAGTAGCAATATAATAGTACAATTTAGTAACTATCGACTTATTTGTGTACTACATACCACAGATATTGTGTAAACACAAAATAAATCAAGACTTCAAGGTGAGTACATGAAGTAACCTTTAGATAAAAACAGATAAATAATTTAGTGAAATTACTCCCTATACATTCTAGCAGATAGAGAAGGAAAAATAATGTAGAATGAAGATAAAAGGATGAATGTTACAAATATATTCGATATATCTGATATTTGGACACTTGACTTTCTAATCGCCTTTTAATCCTCCAGAAAACTTACATTAGAGCCCTGAGAAGAAGATGAAAGGCAAGAGAAGCATCAAAATAAGTTTTACTTTCAATATTAAGGCACAGAAAACAAGAGGACTTATATGTTTATATGTGACATAAATATCCTAGTATATGATATATAATGCATTGCTGTTTTCTAGGACTGTCAAAGAAGTTTCTATTAAATGCTGAATTAGACGAAAGATTTTTCAATCTTTTCCCAACTTTTGAAAACATTTTTAAATAATTTTTACTAATATACCGTAATATTAATACTCGTAAAGAGTTAAACACGATCATAACAATGAAACAGTGGTTCGAGAGTTAATAACATTTACGTTTTAACAAATCTATTGCATATTTGGCCTTTATTTATATACTTTGACTTGAGTAGTCGGATATTAGCACTAGACCTTAAATAATTAGTATGATTCGAAGGCGAATCTATCACATATTTAGCTGATAAATAAGTTACATAAGTTTGATACAGTCAGGTTGTACACTGATGTAACTTAATACATAAATCATATCATGAAATTCACAAGCATAATACATGTAAAATAAAGAGAATAAGATTCATTAACTGTTTTGATATAAGTACAATTAATTAGTAACGTGTGATATATGCATATATAATACGTGACCTAAAATTTCACTGGTGTCCTGATCGTTTTTCCGTTGTAATATGCTTATATAGTAAAATAGTTAAAATTAATAAAACATTATATGTAAGACATATAGCATTAAATCAACCAACATACAAAAAAATAAATAAACCTTTCAAGATACTTTAGACTGTGTCGCATGAAATTATGACAATTTACATGACAATAATAATAATAATAATAATAATAATCAAATGTATGGCCGGATATGTTTAGCAAGTGTTTAATAGGAGAAAAAGTTTTACACTTCATCAATTCATATACATATATCCGTGGGCGTGTCTAGTACATTAAGCGCTATGACGGGGCGGATACTGAACAAAACTGTACTTTCGGAACTGCCTGGTGTGTTGTTGTTCCATTCTAGTTATTGATCAAACAAACGGAACCATGGAAAATAAGCGTTAAGATTTATATCGGGTTTAATTCAATGTCAATTGTGCCAGTTCAACCGTACGACCAGATAAAGCATAGGATGTTAGGCTATAGATGAAATAATACATTTGGGGTAGAGAAACATTACAGAATTCTTCTTGGTGTATCATATTGAGTGGCATTGATTAACGTGAACCTCACTTATCATATTAAGATGGATTTTGAAGACATAGGTGATCATATTATTGCATGAATATGAAGAACACAACAAAGGAAAACTCACTTTTAGCATCCGCCGAAGGATAAATATCTTTCCATGATTTACGGGGATTATTTTTAAACTTTTCCACGAAGCTTCGAGCCTATGCAAGAAAAATTAAATTGTTTAGAAAGAAAGAAGAATCAACAATTGGAGAGATAAAAGATTATTTTACTAAGGAACAGAAGCTACTATTAAGCATAGTTCATTTATTTATTTTATTCATATTTATAAATTGTTAAAATGGTGTATTGGAGGACGACAAAATCGGTAAATGTATTCAAAAAAACCAAATAAAGTGAATAGGGTGACACTAAACTGGAAAATTTAGAGAAACATTAAGAATGTGTGAATCTGGTTCGTTACTACTGGTTTACAACTATATCACTTAAGATCCTCAATAATAGAGTAAGATAATATGGTGAACTAAAAATCAAGAAATCATCATTCCCCGACAACTCTTCAAGCAGTTGTTCATAGTCAATGTAGAACCTGACACAATTGTATATAGATTCTATCAATCACATGTTTGGCAGTTTTTAACCTTATCGACAACCAACCTTAAAGCTGGTCAGCACAGTACTTCTGGATAGATTGACTACGTATGTGTAACATACATTCTAAAAATGCTTGGTATCTATCAAATATGTATATGTGTTTCTGTACTGAGATAACAAAACCGACAATAAAAAATAAATATATCAATTGTTGAGATCATGCGTCAATTGAAACTAGATCAACCATGGAAAACCTGGAAGCATTGGACGGCTGTTTCGCCCTATTGTGGGACTACTCAGCGGTGAAGCGAGTCACTTCAAGACGTATATTCTGGAGTTCTAGTGAGAAGCAGTGACCACTAGAGTTCAACCGGGATAGTAACTCACTGATGACAATGGTGGATGTGTCGCTCAATTTCGTGAATTAGTTGAAGTTAGACATTAACACCGTTGGATGCCGGTCGGCTCAGTGGTCTAGTGGTTAAGTGCTCGCGCGCGAGACCAGTAGGTCCTGGGTTTGAATCTCGCGAGACAAGGTCGTGGATGTGCACTGCTGAGGAGTCTCACAACGGGACGAAACGGCCGTCCAGTGCTTTCAACTTCAATTGACTCATGATCTCAACTACTGAAATTACTATAATCTTCACAAAACCCCCTTCAAATAGATGTATGTTTGCTCCATAGTATGAAGTTATCATTTAAGGACTGCAATGGAATAGTCACAAAAAAATAACCTATTCGGTTAAAAGTATTACTATAAAGTTGTCAACATCATAATAATGAGTAGAGAAAGTAGTCTTTAGTGAGTGAAATTTAAATAATTAAACTATGAAACCAAAAAATCCGTTTATGATCCTGTTACCTGCATCAAACAAAGGATACATAAATTATATTTAATATGGTTGAATGAAGTTAAATCATATTAATAGATGACGACTTGGCTTTTATTTACATGACTAACCAGTAAGCATATGAGAAAAAAACTGACCTTATCATTTACTATCCAAACTTGATCTTCACGACTTGGTGATCCTAAAACTCCTAAGATAAGGGTTAGTTGTTCAACATCTGGTAGAAGTATAAGATAAGGAATTTAGCAATTTGAAGCGAAATTTACTACATCCCAGTTTCAGTGTGAACATTAGCACTGGGATATGACAGTTAAATATAACTGATGAATCTTAAATAAGACAAAACGTACGTTCCCGATCGCACTACTAACTATCATTTGACTTAAATAGGAATATAATTTGAGTAGTTTGTAGAGACTGATTTAGCTTGACATCAAACTTTATTATGGACTGAAAACAGATGAAATGTTGTTCAACTGCATCAAGAACGAATCAAGTATCAAAATGACATTAGATGGTTATTGAGCTGAATTACGAATTGATTGAAGTTTAAAAAAATGTAGATTACTACATTTTGAACTGCTGGTCATGGTAAATAAATTATATGCTCAAAAACTTTAGTCTTGATTCCGATAATTTGTGAAGAATAGTAGGTAAGCAATGATGATAAACCGTAAACTAAGATGGAACACTTGTAGTCCAATACGCCCTAATTGTTTCGTTGATGCTAGTCCATAACGAATACTACCTTTAAGTTATAAATGTAAATGGTAAAATATTTCTTTTGTAATCGAGTGTAATTCTAAAAAAATGATATCTAATCACATGACAAAGGCCTGTTCATCGGCAAATACACAAATATATTATAATACTTAATTCATTTTAGTCCCATTATTCTTGTCATAATTGAAAAAGTAGATATACATATATATATATATATATATATATATATATATATATATATATATATATATATATATATATCGCAATGACATGAATAACGCAATTGGTAGAAGTCATAAGATAACTAATTTCATATACTAAAACTATTCAAATTCCTTATATCTCTCTTTATATACATATTTCTTGTTTGTTGATAATTTTAAGGGATATCACGAAATTGTGAATAGGTAAAATTAGTGCACTAGCTACTTACTGTTAACCTAAATTCTAAATTAGTTAATTATGGTACTGTATAGATTATCAATTTTCTAGGTATTATTACTTGATACTGAAATAACAGATCACTTACGAAGAAATCAATAATCACTGTCTAGACAACTTACAATAACTGAACTAAACATTTTGAAACCTCTGTTTACAGTTTAGTTCAAAATCAGTACGGTAACATAGAAAACTTAGTCGATAGACTATTAAAATATAGTACTATTCACAAGATTTTTATCAAGACAATAATACTATCGCATCATTTGTAATTTAGAATATTTTATGATTCATATGCTTGAATCAAGATAACTGAAATATTATTCATTGTTATTATTCAGCAACAATAAATAGAACCTTTCAACTAACAAAAAAAAAAAAACAAGTCATGAGTTTTAATAGACTATCAAAGCCCATCAAATAATTTACTTCATTTCTTGAATGCAAATACATCATCTGACAGGGTGAATGTAAACACTAGTTATACTCATCGACATGAAGTGAACAAAGTGTAAAAAAAATTATAAAAAAAAGGATACAATGTTTCCCGGGGAACAATGGTCGACGATTAAGCATTTCACCAAAAATGCAACCTACAGACCAAATATCGATAGCTTTTGTATAGCTTTTTGAGCTGAGCATAATTTCTGGGGCTCTATACCATCGTGTAGCAACGTATTCAGTGAGCATGCCCATATGATCATGCTCAGGATCGTTAACTCGAGCCAATCCAAAGTCACAGATCTAATTGATAGGAAAAAATTGAAAAAAAGATTTATTTATTACGAGTCCAGACTCGTTTTTGAAAATCACTGTTATTTTACTATAAGGAAAAAAACAAGAGAGAACTTTCCAAGACATTTTTCACGTTGAAATCCAGTAATCTGGCTGCAAAGTTTTAAGAACAGTTAAATCATTCATAAATAAAATTACAAATAATTTAATGACAATATCTACGTTGGGAGTGTTTTTTCACAAAAACAGGGAGAAAGCGGATATACATAGGCTAACACCAAAAAAGTGAATGGAGCTACTTCACTGAGGAAACACAAGTATTAAACCCAAACTGCAAATAGGGCATATGGGTCCTTTGGAAAGACGCAACATAATTTCATTAGGATCATGAACCGACTAGCGTTGGAGCACCATCGAGAACCTGCAAGTACTGAACGACCGTTTCTCCGTAGGATGAAACTTCTTAGCAGCGTGCATCCACGACCCCATCGCAAGGAATCGAACACAGGATCCTCGTTCTCGCACAAGAACTCTTAGCCTCTAGAGGCCCTAGATGCCCTGGCACGGCCGAGGGTCGGGAGAGTCACCGCTCCCTCTCGAAATACTCTAACATGACCACACGTATACAACCACTGCCATGGAAGTCCGACTCACTGCCTTCTTGCGGCATTACCGTTGTTTACGAAATCGAGAGGACGAAAAGCGAATGTCCGGTGCTTTAATCGGGTCTGTGAACACGGAGGATCCACCTAGGGGAGTCGGAAAATCCCAATCTCAGGCTAGTGGTGCAAATGAGCTCCAGGATCCTGAGGGAACAAATGGTGTATGAATCAATCGTTGGTCACCAGTTACCATGGGACTGCATCTCCTGACGTTGCTCCACTACCTTGTAGATTAGACCCATAGGTAGAAGACTCGAGTAGTGGCCCCCTAAGAAAACCACCTGCTTCGGTTTGTGAACCCGGGCAATACCACAGCCCACATGCAAATCGAATGAAGTGCGGTGCATATGTATTCGGTGCCTCCTTGTACCAATGTTTGTGTTTAAATAAATAAATGAATATTCTCTAGACTATTGAGCCGGCATCCAATTATGTCAATCCTTAAGCTCAATCTATGACCAGTGAAGTTTAACCGTATCCAGATTGAAGCAAATCTCACTGAAGACAATTGAAAATGATCGCGCAATATGAGGGATTGGTCGAAGTTAGACATTAACACAGTTGGATGACAGCTCAGTGGTCTAGAGGCTAAGCGTTCATGCGCGGGACCGAAGATTCTGGGTTCGAACCCCTGTGATGGGATCGTGAATGCACACTACTGAGGAGTCCCATGCTACGGAGAAACGGTCCTTCAGTACTTACAGGTTCACAATTTCAGTGAAACGTAACAATTCCCACAACCTCAAACTTACAACTATAACAGAATTATTGGATAGTATTAACATATGACTATGTTGCTTTATTTCCTTGTAGATATTAAGGCTTTAACCCAAATACTTAAGAGTGGCATACTTTGAAGATGATTTTGGCGTCTAAATACATATCTTCCAAAAATTAGGTTGATTCAAAAAATAAGAACAAACAAAAGATTATAAAAACTACGGTGTATTTATTAAAGCCTCCAAGAAGCTTTCGCTTAAAAAAAAGACAAATAAATAACACGATGCTCATTTCTAGGCATGATAGTCAACTGTTAAGCGGCAACCTAATGATTAAAGCACTTAAATTTTAACCAATAAGTAGGTTTGAACCAAACACTACGCACATTGATCTACCCAACTAAGTGGGATCACCAGACCTCAAACAGACGGCGTGAGTGGCGGAGTAAGTCAAAATGTGATAGATGAGATACACGTAAATTAGTAAGAAATACTTGAGCCAGGTTATTATTATTTGGTACCAAGAAGCAAATATTAATTGATGAAAATCAGTAACCAAGTACACATATGGATTTGAGAAACACTTATTAACATGGAGAAAATGGTGGTTCTTAGATGAGCGAACTAAAGTATACGGACAGGGCTCAGAACATGTAACACAATGGTTAGATGTTGAGTATTTTGAGCAATAAGCCACAAAGAACAAACGAGAATGCTACAAAATCACCATAACCCTGTCTAGGGAGCCATATGATATCAGACCCTAACTCAACAAAAATACCTTCTAATTGACCGACGTATCTAATATATAAACGAGTCTCAGCTAGCACAAAATCGAAGTTCAAGGGTTTCTGACCACAACTATGTCACATCAAAACAAAGTAGTACATTGTGATGTCGAGTCACTTCATTTAGCGGCTATACAATAAATTTGATCGACAAAATCTAACTAATAGTAAGAATTAGGAGACAACCCTAGCTACTACTATTACTTAGTAATCGATTAGTGTAATATTTCTCATACCTAATTACACAGTACCTGACCTCGGAATGAGTTGAACGGTCTTCCTCCTGAATGATACCATTCAGAAGTAAGGGTGACTATAAGCTCACTCCACAGATATCCTCACCTGTTGAAAACCGGGTTTCAAGAACATGAGGCAGAACTGCTGTCCCAGTATCATAAACTAAGGTATCAGGTGAGATTAAGTCATTGTAGTATTTGCTATGGAAGAATAGACCCTGCCTACCATATTACTGTCCACACTAATACAACTCAGATATACAGTCACTTATCTCTAACACTTTACAACAAGAAGACACTAATTTTTATAGTCTTTGGGGAAGTATGAAAGACGCAAATGATGTAAATTAGATGAGATACTTAAAGGGGATTAAGTAGGGCAATAAAGATATCAGGCATTTTGAATTATTTTTAAAACAAACAGGAAATACTAAAATGTGCCAATCCCATTTTAATAGACATGTTTCATAAGTCGAAGTTGTTTAATTTTATCCTAGATAATTGAGTTTAAAAGTGCATTATACAGCAAAGCATCTTATTTTACTCTCCTATTCTATAGAAACTTATTTACTTTACATAAATACATACAACCCTTCCGAAAATTCTAACTAGCAATACTAAATAAAGTGACTCATCGACAAGTTAATCTACTCAATTTTGGGCTATTTTTATAAATGCTAATGATACTATCCAATTGCCCAAATCGAGAACGTGAAACGGGCTTTAACGACACCACCACCACTACTCACAGGTGGTAATCTAGCTGCGTTTATGATAAATCATCATCAAGCTCTTCAAAAAGAAACAGTATACTGCAACGCTTTCTGAATTACTACCCAGAATAGTTAATTAGGATGATAAAGCTGTGGATTATTGGTTATGTCACAAAACTTGTAACCATTGATGGATTTGAGGCTTATTTTATTCATTAAGCCATAGGCGATGACATTTTACGAATTACTCTCAAACTATGTATATAGCATAGCTTGTTTAGGCATTCAGTCAATCGCAAACGACGGCGGAATTTTCAGAGATATGTAGCAACCTAAATGACCATATTATATCAACACAATGAGAGAAATTAATGCGATGAGAAGCAAATGGCTAGAAATATTAATACTGGCTCATGTAATTGAGAAATAAAGTGTATAAAACATAAAATCTCAAGGTTTAAAGTAAGATAAAAATCGAATATATTTGCTCTACCGCAACCGAGAGCGTTACATCACTTAGGGTCGTCAATTATTGGTTATGATTATCGGGAAATCTGCCTCTCACTACAAGTCTTATACCAACAATCAATGACTTTGAATTAATGTCTTGTTTTGATTTGGGCGCATCTAACTTTGTTGAACCTGCTTTCAAATCAAGACGGGTGGTGAGTGAGTAGACATAACATATTTTACAGCAACTTTAGTAAACGAAGATTTGTTGTTTCATTAACTGACTTACGATCGCTATTTATTAATTCAAGTCACTTCTTGTTATTATTCACTAGTTGATTCCAACGTATATGACCAATGAATTGAATGTGCCTACCGTTAAGTAATAATACATAAACCTGTGAGTGCTTATTGGGTTACGGGATGACTGCTATTGACGCACAGATTGCTCACCTTTAGATCACAGCTTGCATTTAACAGTAAATTAGATGGCTTTAAATCACGGTGTAGAACATTTGCAGAATGAATGTATTTGAGACCTAAACAAAATACAAAAAATAGTAAAATTAGTTCGGGTAGCAATTTCTTTTTACCTCGTAGTACTTGATACAAAAAATAACAAGTATGTTCTCCTGACAACTCCTGTGTTTTCAGTAATTTATACAAGTCCGTATCCATTAGTGTTTGAATGATATAACTGAAAATTAGGGGGAAAGGTTAGATAAAGCAAACAAACTTACACATCCTTCATATCCTCTAATGTGTTTCCGACTAGTATAATATTTTTGATATCGATTATCTGGATAATAAGACAAAAAAAATTGAGTTTTGATTGATATGATTTTAAAGAAAATTTAACTATGAATCATGTCCATCAACAGTAAAATTGGATATTCACGAAAAATGCTAAACAATCTACAACAGTTGATGTCAATGGAAATCTCAGAGGCATTGGTAAAGTTTAATGTACACTAATCTAATAACCTTTATGTACAGGTTACTGCAACGACCAACCTATAACGAGCAATACACAGGTAATTGTGACTTCGGTGACAAATGAAAATGACACTTTTATACCCCTTGTAAAACCCATGAAATGAGTATTAGTGAGGCAAACAGACAGGCATATATGTGGGTCGGTCCGTTACCAAGCTACAACAAGAAGACAAGATAAATTTTAGGAAATGAATATCGAATGATGAATTGAAATAATGTAGCAGGAATAATAACAACAGGAAAGGCCGAACACTGAAAATACGGTTTGAAAGGTATGTATGGAATACCGGGACTCGAGAACAAGATTAAGAATGAATACATCTGACACCAACAACTAGTCCCGAAAGGTTTTAGTGAAATTTCGTAAGTTCAAGTTCAGATAGTTTATGTCACACTGTGAGATAAATAAGAGGAAATAAGCCAACAAAAATCACGGTTGTAATAGCTGAATAAAACGAGGGGCTAAAATCACGCATTTTACCAATTCCTTAATCGAAAACACTGAACCGTGAAATAGGTAGCAGTTTCGAATTATTCTAATTCATACCAATCACAACTTGATTAATCACCATGTTTTTTAATTATTTATTTAAACACAAACATTGGTACAAGGAGGCACCGAATACATATGCACCGCACTTCATTCGATTTGCATGTGGGCTGTGGTATTGCCCGGGTTCACAAACCGAAGCAGGTGGTTTTCTTAGGGGGCCACTACTCGAGTCTTCTACCTATGGGTCTAATCTACAAGGTAGTGGAGCAACGTCAGGAGATGCAGTCCCATGGTAACTGGTGACCAACGATTGATTCATACACCATTTGTTCCCTCAGGATCCTGGAGCTCATTTGCACCACTAGCCTGAGATTGGGATTTTCCGACTCCCCTAGGTGGATCCTCCGTGTTCACAGACCCGATTAAAGCACCGGACATTCGCTTTTCGTCCTCTCGATTTCGTAAACAACGGTAATGCCGCAAGAAGGCAGTGAGTCGGACTTCCATGGCAGTGGTTGTATACGTGTGGTCATGTTAGAGTATTTCGAGAGGGAGCGGTGACTCTCCCGACCCTCGGCCGTGCCAGGGCACTTAAGGGGATTTCTTAATTAAAACTTAACCTAATCTGAACACCAGGAAGCCACTAATTTCACTGTGTAAACGATCCTTCAAAAACACCGCCAATTATATACTTACTACTAGTGTGCTGACCTGCATATATATATATATATATATATATATATATATATATATATATATATATATATATATATATGTATACCGATATATTATTCTACATGTCAGAGTGAGCAGTAATTGAAATGATATTTGTTGGAAATATTATAATTCATTAGAAGCCTTGTAGATATCATAACTCAGTGACTTCATGTGTTATTAGTCAGGGTTTACATGTGTAGCCACTCTTAATCGGATTCTCGGCAAACAATAAACTGTACTTTTAAGGGAAGTGAAATTCACGTTAGACATGTTACTTGAATTTTAGATTCCTACTTTCGTTATCATTTTTCAGATCTTTTTTATCGTTTACTTCATGACAATATACAGAAAACACTGAACAAGCACAAAATATGCAATACCATCGAATATTTGTATTTAAGAAGCAAACTTTCAGGCAGTGCAGGGAAAGTAAGAGGATACAGCATTAAAGAACTTATCAATTTAATATCCGGCTTTATTAAGACACTTAGAAACGCCTAGAATTACAAAGGAATTGTTTCAGGTTTTTAAATACCTGAGAAATTGAAGACCGAGTGAAATGCAATTTACTTTGAAGAACTGTTAACCGCTATATAAAGACTTCAGACTTTCGACAGATATAACTTAAGGACATTGCTTAAACAAGTTTAGAAAAAACACAAGCTTCTGATAGTTGTTGTGAATGCTGCTGAATAGTATAGTTTTAATAAATAAGCTTTCAAAACGTATTTACATAGCTTTCATTTAAAGGCAAACCTGGACGAAAATAACAAAAGCACAATGCCCGCCAAGATATAAAAAACAGTCAAAATGTAAAGATTAATATCTTAGTGCAATGTAAAGTTTATCTGTACTTGTAATTACTCAAATTCTCTAAAGATTGCATTACTACATATTACCAAGTGTTCTTATCAAAGACAAAAATAAACTATGACTAAACGTACATTTTCATGAGAAAATCCAAGAAGAATCTTCAACTCCCGATATGTTCGCTGGCAGAACGTTTGATGTTCGAACGGTGAGGTCTTCTTAATGGCAACTTTCTCACCTCTTACGGTGTCGAAAGCATCACTGATCCGTACGTGAATAATAACTGATAAGACTTACACAACCATTCCATACGCTCCTTCCCCAATATAATTCAAGTCAGTATAACGAGGGGACACCTCAAAAACCTGATTTTTTATAACAACACGCACCATCCCAGAATTTGATGTATCTACCGCTCTAAATTTCGACCTACAACATAGCATAGAAAAACAAGAGTGTTTAGGAAGTGTTGAAGAACGACGTGGTCTCACATTTTATATTAGACTTCATTCGCAAGAAACAGTGAATTTTTTTCGACATTATATTATTATTGATCATAAGGCAATGTGGTCCTATTCAAGTTTTAGGGTGATCAAGTTGTCCAGCATTTTAAAGAGGGAAATAGCTTTTGAATATTATTGTGAAATAGCTCCGCTTTCCCTTTGCACCTGAACTGAAACATTTTGTCCATGTTTTAATTTTATGGCAGTTAATGTGACTAATTTTTATCCGCTTCTTCCTTGACTACTTTCGTCATTTTAAAGTATGATTTAATCATATTCCGATTTGTATAGTAAGGACCTAAAGCCCTATATTTTTTCTAACAATCTTCTCTGTGTCTAATTTTTTTTGAATGAGTCAATTGAAGGAGCGAACATTACTTTTTTAGGTAACAGGTTCCAAGAGTTATTCAACCGCTATGAAAACCTTGATGCCACAGTAATTTGTTCGTTCTCGACTTTTCTATTTGCCTGCTAGATCCTCTGAGATGTCCCGATATAATGTTAAGAAAAAGAGAGGATGTATTAGGTCCGAAATCATTTCCTAATATTCAACACGTCAAAATCAGTTCACATTTTAATCTGAGACCGAACAGAGTAAAGTGGTCTAGCTTTTCAAGTCGTTTTTCCAAATACAGAAAAAACTTTCCAATAGCTTTCACGGACTTTCGGCGTCAAGTTTCACGTCTGTTGTAATAACTGGTAATTGTTGTAGGGTCAGTGAAATGACCAAATTATCCACCGTTGAGGTCACTAAATATCAAACAGTTTATCGATCGTCATCAAAACCAAAGACAACCAGCGAGCATAAATTAAATTCACGCCATAGACTGGGTTATATAACCGTGGTCACATTCTGTTTTGTATCTACTCTTATTACTACTACTCTTACTAATATATTTCTGTAGTAACTTGATTTGTGTTGTACAGTTATTGAGGTAGACATACTACTGGGTACAACGAAGAGTAAATGTACGTTATCTATGAACCACATGTTGTGACCGTATTGTAAGCTAGGAAATCTCATTATTCACGTACAATCAGAGTAATTTTCCAATCGTCGTTACAGATCACTTGAGTTAATGATCTGCATAGTCAGCGTTGTGGCGGATGTAATTTCTCATTCCCTGCTGAACAGAGAATGCAATTGTATCGACTTAACATCCACTGGGTTTATAAACCTTTGAAAGTTAAATTATTGGTCATTATTGTTGACGAAATGAGTTATCGCTTTTGTGATTTACGTATTTTCCCTGGACAATGGTAGAAGGAGGGATAACGTACATCTGTAGAATTATAGTTATCTTCGGCATTATTACTACTATAATAGAAGATCTAACTTTAAAACTGTAGATTTATCATGGTGTGACTACCTAATCTATAAGATCTTACGTGAAAGTCACATAATTCGCTACAATGTCTCATCGCAACGATAAGTGGTGTGACGCCTAGCATTTCCGAAAAGCATATTTAAGCTGGGAAGATAGTAATATATATGATACGAAAACCATGAGGTTATAGAAACCTCACCTGCTTGACCGATTCATGCAACTCCGTTTCTTTTTTACAGCGTTCAGAATTACCGACCTACTATAGGTGTTACTTTCTGAACGTCAATCTACTCAGTAATTATATATTCACATTTGGGAATCGTGTGATTAGTAACCGATACAACTGCACGTCCATCACCAATATAATTTTAGCTTCCGTAGTCCACTGCACACGGAAATTGTCTTTGCACTTGTGTAATTAACAGTGCCATTTTCAGATTGATGTCTTTGTAAGTGTTAAGAAACTTTATCTCCGCTACTAGCGAAGCAGAACTGATCCCCAATTTTTGACTTGCTTTAATGTAACTACCTGACCAGTAAGATATTTTATGGAGATAACACTGCCGACCCATTGTACATGACAGTCAGAATTGTAGGTCTTAAGAAACTGACAGACGTATCCAGGCTAGAGATAGAACATTATATTTAATATACAAAGTAAAGAGGTTATATGGAGTGGTCGCTTTCACATGGTTGAGCCATACCATCTCTAATACGTTTCCCCACACTCAGCACTTCTAACCTTGCCCAAGCGTTTGACGGCTAATATGAATCTTCTCCGATATCGTATGTTCAACCCCAAAGATCATGTGCTTGGGAATAAACGCCAACACGAATGTGCTGGACATTTAAATTTACGATTATTGGATACCTTTATACTACCTCATCATTTACTGTTCTCCACCATATTTTTCTGGACTTAAGAGTGAGTTCCCTGCGTTGTGGAAAGTTCAAAATGCAATAAGCAAGTCAGTTTGTGAATCTACTGATATCATTTCGAACATAGTAGCGGACAGACATTTGAAATTTTGCAAACTACTAACAAGTGTTACTTCTTCATATATTCACCATCCACCATATTCAGATCTTTCTCCTTGTATATCTACCGGGAGAAATAAATAATAGACTGTATCTCAACGAATGAAAGTGAAAAGTCTTTAACGTATGTAGTATATATTCTAAGCCGCGAAAAATTTTACGGGCTGGACAAACCTATCGCCGATGCATCTTAGGTGAATACTTATGTTATTATAAAGATTTAAGTCAATTTTAAAAAGTATTATTTACTTAATTGATAAGTGTATACATATTTGTGATATATCGGAAGCGAAAGAGAAATTTGTTGAAATATTGTATTGTGCATTGAGGTTCTCATAGTTTGCTGGTTATATGATATAGAACACAGCATTCATTATTTGCCTTGAAAAAATTGGAATGGTCAGTCCCATTTACCAAAAAATATAATTAGATGATTTCTCAAATACTAAACACACTTTCAACATGAGGAGTGATTTCCCAAGAAATCGTGTGAATACCGTGAGGTCGCACATCAGCCAATGAGATTTCTAAGTTTTTATTGTTTTGAACTGTTATGTGAACTGAAGAATACTTCAGTGAGGAAATGAAATACTCTGCCAACTGTGATGGAATACATGCTAATTGTAGAGGATATAAAGACTACAGTAATAAATAACCAATTTTACTATTTTTTGGTAAAGTTATTGGATCAAATTCCGAGTTCCGGTTATCTCAATCAAAATATGTACGGCAAACACCTAGGAAGCCTACATAACCTCAATGATTAAAGAAAGCAACAATGCAAGCTATATTGCTTATGGATTAGCCTCATTTAAGTCAAAATGTTTGGGTTAATTATTAACACTCCCAAAATGAATATTCAAGTGAAGGTTATTTGAGAGTTAGACAAGTCGGTGTAACGATAATGAAAAGTGATTTAGTACAGAGACATTTTGACAAAACACCTTAAAATTCATATTAACAACAAGCTAATCAATCGGCTAGTCCATAAGACTTCGATTATGTTGCTTACCCTACGAAGCCTATTTAGTTCTAGGACTCAGCTTCGAGGATTTTAATTATTTTTCTCATTCTATGTTTTTCATTGTTCCTGGTCAGTGAATATTTTTTGTATCTGCGGTTACGGACCATGTTATTAAACGTTGTCGTTATAAACCAAATGTTATGTACATGGTAGTGTTAAGTGATGAACTCAACTTTTGGTAGGTTAACATCTCCATTATTTCTAGACCTCGTTCTGTTTAGTTCACGTATTTTTAGTGTATCTACCCCATGTCTATTTCCATTCAGATTACAATGTGTTCAGCCAGACGAAACACCAATATGGAAACAACTACTTGTTATTTGTGGCGGTTGCCATGGTAGGAACGTCGACGTCCTTATAGACAATAAAATATAGTGAAAATACATAAAATTAACTGCCAAATCAAAACCATTGGACAGATAGTGACACTGTAACCCGTTTATTCAACAAGTACGGCTAGTTAATTCACTGGTAAATCAATATTATGGTGACGTCAATTACAACTGTATAAAAATTAATGACAAAGTGGGAGTTTTCACACTTTCGTTGGATATTCTCGCTGACTACGGATTTCAACAATGAACCGCACGTCACACGTGACACAAACACAGACGAGATCACAACGTGATGTTACAGGTACCAAAAAAAGAATCTTAGGTCGAACAAACAAGACATGTAGTTAAAAACCTTATCCCCGTTGATATTTCTGTGTTTTTTAGTACCCTAGCATTTTATACAAACAGTAGGGCAATTCTTCCAGTTCGATCGGTTTAATTTACTTGCTTTTTAAAAATGAACGTTTCTTTACTTCTGACTTCAGGATGACTCAAGAGGTGATTGGTTGAACATCTGATAGTCGGAGAGACAATGAGAAAATCGTGCTCCACCAATTTGATGTTAAACGATACATTCGCAGCACATTCTCAATTACTCCTGTACCACGTTTTACTCTCCATTCTCTTACGAGTTCTGGTTTCTGTGTAAAGGACACCTACATCAAGTCATGTGCAATAATATGTGGAAAGGTGGATGCTACACCAATAAGGCAACAAATTGGCAGAGCATAGCACATATAAAAACTCTTAAAACATTGACCGATCAGTGGTCGTAAAGACAAGGAAGCCAAACATCCGCAGGTTTTGTTTAACAAATTGATCGAAGCAACATTTCTGTGAAAGACAATTCCAGGAGAGGGTTGAGGTGACAACTTATGTTGATTGGTTAAGCGTTGGACGGAAACATCTAGGAAATAACAAAACATTATAGATCAAGTACTTATTTACATCCTTGTTTTTCGTAAGCATCATATTTACCATTATTCGATATTGAATGCTGAAAGGTTGTGTTTGAATTGAAACCTCGAGCTTCAACTGATATTATTGACGATATGAAATAAAGCTTGCCCTAGCCACATGTCTAGCTTCTTTCACACACGTGTTATATTTAAAGCTTAGATTCTTAATATGCCGCGTAAACCTGAGCATTCGAACGCTAAAAAT